ACCAGAAACTGACTGTCAGCTGCCCATGGGAATGGCAAAGATGACACAAAGAATGAGAAAGTGTTGCACATGTTTTCTCTCCACACCAAGTTGTTTTCTGTTTCGGGTGATCCACTGTATATGTATATTTATCTGTTTGTTTGTCTATCTATTTGTCTATGCAGTGTGTTGGAGCTGGGTACAAGGACTCTGGAACGTCTTCCTGAGTTTGTTTCCGCCTGTCTTGTTGGTGGGTGTGGCACTAGTGGCACCAAGATGCGCCAAGGTGGTGATTTGGTGCAGCAAGACCTGTCCAAATGTGAGCAGCTATGGGAGAGGGCTGCAGAACAAGGAGACGACATGGCAAGGGAGAACCTTGCCACTCTGCGCGAACACATGAAATTGGCTGCAAAAAGGATCACGATCGGGAACGGTGCGGCCAATAATATGTTCACAAATCAACTACTATCCTGGTACAGTGGCCGGTTGCTTGGTTTGTGTCAGATTATGGGTTTAGTGGTAATGTTTTAGGATCCCTTGGCGGCTAGAATTAATTAGGTTTGCACACTCTCATGGTGCCAAGGGTGGTCATGTGATGTCATGTGGACATCACCTTAGGAGGGAAGGCTATGAGATTTGAGCACCCTGCCTCCCCAGCATCCTGTGTGACCACTAGGGCAGCGGGAGTTCGGCAGCCGCAGCTTGTTGCAGATTTATATAATGTTATATAATGTTATATAATGTTTTATAATGTTTTATAATGTTATATAATGTTATATAATGTTATATAATGTATTATAATGTTATATAATGTTTTATAATGTTTTATAATGTTTTATAATGTTATATAATGTTATATAATGTTATATAATCATATTTTGAGTCGCTTTCCAGTACTAATGTGTTTTCATGATTGTTCTACTCAATTCAAACCCAAAGTTACCAACTCCTTATGTTGATGGGATGGAGCTTTGCAGGTGGCGTGAAGCAGTTCTTCCTAAAGACGGGCAGCGATGTGATGACTGGCGAATTTGAGGGTGAAGGCTTCAAGAGCTTGGTACAAGGACGACAGCTGGTCCATTGCAGCCATGCACAGATAGAAGTAGCAGAGACTCCCGAGGTCTTCCGTCCTCATCCAGAGGATAGTGACATTGTGGGCGGGCCGGAGATTTGCAACGACTGTTTCCCATAGGGTGTGGTTGGCTGTGGCAAGGTTTTGCTACGAAGATTTGAGGGACCTGGGCTGCCAGGAGTTGTCGGAGGGACTGCTGCCCATGTGGGCAAATTCTTTGGAGCCCTAGGCCGGGACTGACAAATGATTTGCTACCGAGTTTGCGTGGCTTGTGCCATAGTCATACTCGATTTGTTTACACATTTTAGAGTATCAATGTGAATGCAGGATCGTACGCTTGAGACAATTGAGGTAACAATCCCCTCTCTCTATTACTAAACGTACCCAAAATACTGAAAACTAGGGTCCGATGCAATTTCGGGGAATTTGAAGTTGGCCAATTTGATTGGTAATTGATCCCCTTTAGAAAACAATCTAAAAATGAAGGTCCCATTCGAGGGTTTCACCCTAGTCAACACCGGAGTGTTTTTGATTAGGGTCCGTCCTTTAAAATCAAAAGCAAGCGTTTTTTATTAAGGTGTTCTATCTATATAATATTAGGGAAACATTCTAAATCCAATGTTTGTATCTTTTTGGCAATATGTCAATTCAATTTGAAAAAGGGTTTTGATCGATTTTGAAGTATAAAATGTGTTTTTACTTTTTAATTCAATATGCGGGGAACCTTCGAAATCCAATTTTGGGCAATATTTTAATTAGATTTCAAAGAGGAATTTAATCGATTTTGAAATATAACATTTTATGATATTTTATGTTGTTTTGATGATTTTAATTTAGTATTAGGGCGAAGCTTCGCACCCTAATACAAAATACCCACCCCCTATTGCTAAACCGGGTGTTTATTATTGGGGGGGATGTTTAGTATTAGGAGCAGGGATAGTGTTGGGCGGACAGAATGTCACTTCATAGCATTCGAAACCACAATCGTGTCAAGAAGCTTCGCTCTTCCTTCTGTGACCTGAACTGAGGGGCATACCGTTATACCAAGTGTCCCACTATAGCCGGACAGGTGATACAGTGGATGCATTGACGCAAACCGGTGGTCAAAACTACTTGCCCCTCGTTGCTTGTGGTTGGGGGTGGTATAGTACATTTGGGTCACGGAATGCTGTCATGTCCCTAGCTCTGTTCAATGATGTGTGTGTGTGTGGGATGCCCAGGGCCGTTTGTTCTCACTAACGCGTGGGACTGTAAAAGGCTGTTCGAGCACGAGAAATGATGCTACTGTACCCGCATGGATACATCAGAATGTGGCTGTAGTCGCGCCTTCCAGCCTCTACACCCTGGGGTTCAAGAAAAGAGAGAAGATTCCAAAAAGCTGGGAGTTTGGAACCAGCCCACCTGCAAAAAGTGCTTCCAAGGCCTGGCAATGTGAACCATGTGGGTGATGGCGTCATTGTCGGGACACAGGCCGGATCTCCTGGAACCCAAACAAATCACGGAAGGCACTGGCAGTGCTTCTGCACAGTGCTTCCAGACCAGAGCAGTTTCAAGACTCCGGGTTTCTACTTGTTTCATGTTTTTCCCTATGTGAGTCTAGACGTTTTGCTGAATGAGGTCAGCACGCACGTAGTGTTTCTATGTGTTTCTCTTGAATCTGAAGGAAACATCAAGACATTCCATACTGTAGCAGCATCCAGAAGGAAACTCCTGGAAACCAGGTCTTCGGACGGCATGTGGTATCTGGAGTCACTGGACTAGTTGCAGCCCCCATCCATGGCTTTCGAAACAAAGGCGGGGAGCCACAGGAGGACTGAAGGCAAGATCCTGGAAAAAACAAAAAAACAAAAAACAAATGGCATGGTGTGTGAACTATATTGAATTATCATGTGGAAAGGCTCTTGGGTAAAGCTAGCCAGTCGTTTGAATTCTTGGCTGTTATTTTTATTCATTTTTGGCAGCTCAGAGGGGGCTGTCCATAGGCGTATTTGGCTAGGTGATGCTAGGTGTATTTCAGGTATGTGGAGGCCTTGGCCTAGAAGCTTTGCCGGAAGATATGCACTGGGCGTACACACTGTTGGCAAAGACATGAGTTGCGAGTCGTTGCAAGATGTTGCAAGAAAGCTGGCCACAAGGCCAAGATTTCAAACGTGTAATGTGCAACATGATTGTGAAACATGGATAACATGGGAATCTATGGGAATAAAGTCCGATTCCGCAACTTCTCCGGATTGCGCAACTCCGCTTGCGTAACTCCGCTTGCGCAACTTCCAGGATTCCAGGATTGCGCAACTCTGCTTGCGCAACTCGTAGGACTGCGCAACTCTGAGTGCGCAACTGCTTTTAACAGATTGTGCAACTCCCAGCATTGTGCAACTCTGCAACTACACTTCCTCCAAAGAATTCCAGCCCCCATAGAACTTGAAAATGACACAAGAGCAAGACGTTAATTATCAAAATTCCCATTGAGCACGCAGGAGGCGCGTAATTTGATTTTGGAAATGGCATCCATTTGCAGCCACGTGCAGCCACTCGAGTGGCCGCAAGTGGCCGCAAGTGGCCGCCTGACATCCTCCCACGGAAACTTTTCCACATTTTCCGCGGCCACTTGCAGCCACTCCAGTGGCCGCCAGCGGCCACCAGCATTTGGTTTTTCATCGGCAGCCACTTGCAGCCACTCGAGTGGCCGCCAGTGGCCGCCCGCATACTCTTTTCATCGGCAACCACTTGCAGCCACTTGCAGCCAATCGAGTGGCCGCAAGTGGCCGCCAGAGCAAGTGGCCGCAAGTGTAAGTGGCCGCCAGAGCAAGTGGCCGCAAGTGGCCGCCTTTGCCAAAATCAAATTCGTGCCCTTCTGCACGCTCTCTGAAAATTCCCACCCTCATGGAACTTCAAACTGACTTGGAGTGTCCACAAGGTGACATGATATCAAAATTCCCACCCCATAAAACTTGGAAATGACACGTGCCGTCCACAAGAGCAAGACGTTGTCAAAATGTCCACCCCCATGGAACTTCAAATTGACTTGGAACGTCTACAAGGTTAAGATGATGTCAAAATTCCCACCCCCATGGATCCCCATGGAACTTCAAACTGACTTGGAGTGTCCACACGGTTAAGATATTCCCACCCCCATCGAACTGCAAACTGACTTGGATTGCCCACAAGGTTAAGACGATATCAAAATTCCCACCCCCATGGAACTTTAGAGTTTCACAATACCAGTTTCACAATCTGACCCCAGAGTTTCACAATCCACCTTTAGAGTTGCACAATCCTACTTTATAGTTTCACAATCCGAATATCAAGTTTCACAATACACGTTTCACAATCCGCGCGGCAAGTTTCACAATCCGACTGGCAAGTTGCACAATCCAAGTTGCACAATCCGTCTGGGAAGTTTCACAATCCGACCGGGAAGTTTCATAATCCGACGTTGACCACATAACGTGGCAGACTCGTGGCAGCCATTTATGGAAGAATTGTAATCAATTGCAATCCTTCATAACCTTTGGGAACTTGTCTCATGGCAGGATTCCCATGCATTCCCTTCCAGGCTGGCGTGGCCTTGGCGAAGGCTTTCTGAAGGGTGTGCGTGGTGCTGTGGCACAGCCGGTCAGTGGCCTGATGCATGGGGCACAACACATTGCCTCTTGGACCCGATGAAACCTGGACAGGCATTGGAAGCGACATGGTAAGCGGATGCGGAAATGATTCGGGGTAGGTTCTCTGAAGTTTTGGATATTTGTTTGATTGCTTTGAAAGTTCTGACGCGCAACTGAAAGCATGATATTGCTACACTGAGTCATGAAAATGAAGGTGGGGACCCCGTGGGGATCAATGGTACTGGTACGGCAAAATAGGGCAAGCTGGTCGATTTGGGATGGTTGACCTGCTGACACTGCCTAACGCCGTGGGCGAATATTTTGGGGTTCCAGAGAGGCAACAGCCTGAGGCCGATGGACTGGATGCAACTACCAGGCTCTTGGATCACTGGGGACAGAGCCTTGTTTCAATATGCAGGTGTAAGCTGCGAAGGTAGCAGCTACCAGGTAGATTCAGGTAGATCAGGTAGCATTTAATTCTTGCAGCCCCAGTTCTTTGCAGCACACGGAATCATATCAAGAGAATTCAACAGATAGGAAAAAACTTAAGGCAAGAGCTGCTATATTCATTTGTGGTTTATTTTGGTCGCAACATTTTAAAAAAAAATATCCTCACAAATAGCGAGGCGTGCAAATTTCATGAGTCCAACCTCACGTCGGCATGGCGCCACCAAGGATCTCCGTGCGGCGCAGTGCGAGACAGTTGCAGAACTCACAGCTCCTGCCACTCACCGGGGCGGAGCTGCTTGGCCAGCTCTCCCAATGGAGGTTGAAATGTTGGGACCTAGAGGTTTCTACAAAAATAATATCGTGATACATTCTTAGTATGAGTTTTGTGGTTCCTCTATGTTTCTACTAGTACTAGTACTATGTTTTGCTTTCACTTCAGAGCTTACTGGATGAGTTTGGTGGAATATGTTCAAGAGATGTGTGTGTTCCGACATGACACCCGTTGGTTTGTTTCAAGGCCAACTTCGAAGAACCATTGGTTCAAGGTTCCAAATTGATAATGTTTCGTTGGATTGATGTTGCCAGTGCTTGTGTTTGTGTGAAGAGTGTTTCCCAAACCGTTAATTATTGTTTGATGATGGATTTCCTCCATGCCGTCCTTTTGTAGAGCAATGTTGCTAATGTTGGAGACTACGCGAGCACCTGTGCACTTCCAGTGCGTATTTGTAATTCGACAGATTTCGACAGGTTCGCGCCACGCATCACGGCCACTGGGCAGCGTCAGGAGTTGCAAGGGAGTAAGAAAAGGTGAAAACGACATTGGAAACAAGTTTAAGGATGTTTAAGGGTGCACTTCAACTCAACATAGATACTTTTGTAAAGGATGCTTTGCTATGCGAGACTAGTAGTTCAGTTGTGGATAGTTTCGTTTGCCCTGCCTCGGTGTGCGTTTTCCTCAAGATACACGGATCTTTAAGTGCGTTCTTAGTTCTTCGCAAATCTCATTCCAAAATCACACAAGGTGTGGGTGGATGCCCTGGAATTCCTGACCATGGAAAGTTACTCGGCCTGGGATGTCGAATCAAACGCCAGAACGAAAGGACATGAGACATGACTCGCAGAGCCCACGGCTCAGCAAGGAGACTTGGACGCGCATATCATATCATATCATATCATATCATATCATATCATATCACAATATATACATTGTTTTAAAACAATGAATTAGTTGAATTTAGTTGATACAGTTTATAGATAGCACATGTCACGTTGGTATTGTCACCCCTTTGGCCAGTCAGCCACAACGGCAGGTTTCGTGGCCAGCACCTTTGCTACTCTGGGACAGCTGCGGGGTGCCACCTACCGAGTGCTACTGCAAGCAGGTTGGATCAAGCCATTGGGGCCAAATCATCGAAGTAAATGGGCCATGTAAACATCGATGGAAACCACAGCTAGGTTGGATTTTCCACAGCAAATGGTTAGTTTACCAGAGGGTGGCAAAAAATGGGTTGCTACAGTTAATTCCAATGGAGAGAGAGAGAGAGAGAGTTGAAAAAGGATTTACTGATAGCCGATTCAACCAACCAAATGCATCCAAAATAATCCAAATATAGTCCAAAAGTTTCAGGTCACAAAATATGGAAGCTTGGCCAACACCAAAAATCAGAGTTGAGGTCATGCCCAAGTGTTTGGATAAAGTTCCCCCATGAGGCTTGGCTTGTTGAGCTTGTCGAGCCAGACTGGACAGGAGATTGGTCCAAAGCCTGCAAGCTGGGCCACCTCGCTCCAAGTGGTGCCATTCAATTTGACCAGGTGCAGCGGCAGAATGGCTGTTGACCGTCACCAGAGCCCTGCAAATAGGAGGGAGAGAGGGGAGAGAAAAACGACTTTGGATGCACAGTCAATATCATTCAATTATGTACATAATTGTACATACACGCGTGCACCCTTTGGAATGTCAGTATGTGCTCGTAGATTAATTCATGATAATTCATGTCATATGCATAAATATGTATATATATATGTTTTGTCATTTTGATGCGGCGAGTGTTTCAACCTTCACATGTTGACAACCTGTATTGTTCGTAAAATGTTTGACACGTGATGGTTCTGGATGGTTCTGCCTGAAGGATGACCGACCCTTCAGGCAAAATGGGTGCCAATCGAGACACTGCTGGAATCGGAACTTGGGCAGAACACAAGCTGGAAGATGACGGAAGGAACATTTATATAATGGATTTTTCAGGGTCATTCGTGGCTCAAAATTGGATAATGTGGAAGCCGTGAAGACCAACTCCACGGAAAAGAACCTTACTGATACTAATTCATGACCATTTCTTGATCCTATCAGAGAGTCATGCCCGTGCAAACCCCATGCGCATCTCATGACAGTAAGACAAAAATGACAAAACCTCCTTTGATTCAAAAAACCATATGAAAGATATTCTGTGGACCATGGTGCGTTAGTTCATTGCAAGCCATGCCAAGCCTTTGGGCTGGGATTTCGCATGCTGAAAGCTCAGGATTTGGACATCATTGTGCAGGACTGTACTCTGCAAGGCAATGGGACATGCTACTTTGGTGTTTGGTGATGTTGGCTGATTGAATGATTGGATGATTGATGGATCAAAGATGCTTTGCTGAGGGTCTCCACAACTTGACCACATTTGACCACATTTGTGTTCCCTTTGGCAGGTTCCATGCTGTGTCATTTGTGGGAGGTGCCAAGTATCACAATCATTAGATCATTAGATTGTGCCAGGTCATCTTGACTATGACATGCAGATTGTCTACAAAGCCAAACTTGAGCGGAAGTTCATCCTAAACCAGGTAGCCAAAGTTCTCCAAGACCCGGAGGTGCTGAACAGTATGTACTAAATGAACATTGTGAGATCCCAACTGCGCCAGCATGGGACCAGACCTGGCGACGCCAGGGGCTCGCAATTTTCAAAGATTACACCTGTCGTTGGAGACCAAGTCAAAGTTGCTCCGTGCGCCGGGATGCTTAGCTTTGTTCGGATGGAGTCTCCGGATGAAACATGATAGAACCACTTTGGCTGATTGTCATTGAATTAGCTTGAGTTTATCGTTATTGATATGTATGTGTGTATGTATATATATATGTGTGTGTATATGTATTACATCCAATTACATCCCATTACATCCCATTACATACCAATACATACCATTACTACATACCATTACTACATACCATTACATAACATTACATAACATTACATAACATAACATTACATAACATTACATAACATTACACTGCATTACCTAACATTACATAACATTACATAACATTACACTGCATTACATTACATTACATACATACATTACATACATACATTATATATATACATACATTATATATATATATATACATATATATATACATACATACACATACATACATACACATACACATACACATACACATACACATACACACACATACAAGCACACATACATACATACATACATACACAGACAGACAGACAGACATACATACATACATTATATATATATGTATGTATGTATGTATACATTATATATATACATATTATATATATATGTATATATATGTTGTTTCTTCAAACCACCACTAACCTCCTGTGACTGCTGCGGGCGAGAATTGATCTTCTTTCCATCCCTGGACACTCCCTGGACTTGGGGCCATGCTCCGCGGAGGTCTTGACCCCACGTCGCCACAGTCCCGCCATCCCACTGCAAAGCTCTTGCTGCGGTTTTGGCCTTGGGCCCCAGAGTCGGGATCTTTTCGCCAATGCGGGTGTGAAGTGGCAAAGAACAAGGTTCACAGGTGACAGTTGCCGGTGCCAATGTGGGGATCTTCAAAACCTCACCCGGAGCTTTTGGTACGTTTGTACACATAGCCGTATAGCCATAGTTTCAATGTGATTGTTTCAAGGTTGAATCATAGCCAGCTAAGGCCAGCATGGGACCCTGTGCGCGTGCCAAAGACACAGCAGTGGGTGTCAAACGGTTTGATTTCAAACGTCCATCTCTCAGCATGTGGAAGCCAAGCTCAGTCACTTCGGCCCTAGCCATGGCCTTCAGTCATTTTCAGCCAAATTTCATTGGCGGATACGGATAGCATGGATAGCTATTGAAGATCCATGAGGTATCGGCACCTGCTGTATCAGATTCCGAAAGCATATGTGTTCATCACGATATGATATGTTCCGGATATGTTGGTACCAGGAAAAACTTCCGCCACCGCAATGAGATGAGATGGTGAATCCGTTGTACATTTTTGTGCAACACCAAGTCGAGAAGAGCTCATCCTGAGCGAAAGGAAGGTTTGCTTCTAAAGAAGTCCAAAGGTACCATCATCGTCAGTTGCTGTCTGGTTTCGATGAAATTTGCTGACCCAATTTTCTTAAATATACTTAAATATCTTCAGCATTGTTCAAGAGATTTTCGAATTTGGTAAGCATACATGGCAATGGGAAACGCCCGTTTTTTGGCAGGCAAAAACATGTGCAAAGTTAACTGCCAGGCCTCCTCCACCACTGGTCCGAGAAGTGGGTGGTCTTGGAGAACCATGAGTTGCTTGGAGGAAAAGAATGTGAAGGATAGCCGGACTGTGCTTGACTGATCTTGTTTGGGTGCTCTGCTGACTATGATGAATGATAGGTTGAGATTGAGAATCAGAAATTTAGTATACTGCGGATCCATGCGGATCCAGCATTCACTTCTCCCATCATAGCAAAATCTGTAGAACGACCACTTTGGATTCGGAAATGTAACCGATATTGTGGCCCGGGCAGTACAGTTGATGCACTAGACACCTGTCAGTGCAACCCTTGAAGTTATCGGCTTCGACCAAAAAGAACCAAAGCGACCTAGGTTCAAATACTGGAGCGATCGAAAAGACTACGAGCAGCAAGAAGCACCAAAGGCAATCAGTGGAAGTGCACAGAGTGCAGCAGTTGGCGTCGCAGTCTGCCACTTTAAGCCTTGGCATGTTGGTCTACAAACGGGGCATTTCTCAGTGTTTTTTCATGGCTTGACAGAGAAGAAGGGGTGACTAAAATGGCATTTGTTTCGCTCCAGTCACGCTCCTGCTGCCATTGCATCCGGTTGTTTTTCGCGCAGGTGGTCGGAGAGATCTCATCTTTGGATAGCTGGGAGCAAGATTTGAGACGGATCAGAAGCTCGGCTGAGTCTGAGAAGCCACCAGCCCAAAGAAGACAATCGGACGTCACTCGAATTTAAAAAACCAAATTATTCTGGATGTGGATCACCTCAGAATAATAATGGCTCCAGTGTAGGTCATAGACACTGGGATAATAAAAAAAATTATTCCAGTGTGACACCCACATGCCCACACCAGAAGGCATGGTCCATGTTTTCCAGCGGGTGCCAGTGCCGTACACAAACGAAAGGAGACAGAAGCCGCAAGCTTGACTTTGCCCAAGTCCGCGACAGGCTCGGTAGGGCGTTTTGTTTATCACGGTTTGCGGAACCATTCCAAGCCCTTTCTGATTCTGGTTCAATTTTTGTGGGTGGAGTATATAATTGGTTTTACTCTTGGGTGGCAATCTCACTGAGCGTTGTCACGATGTTCACACGTAGTAGCAGGTATGGAGAGTCGCTGCCGCTTTGGGTGGCGAGACTCTTGCCTTGCACCGATCGAAGATGCAAGCAATTTCTAGCACTGGTTATATAGGTCCGAATCTTCTTTGTGCGACGTTCAGTCAGTGACCACAACACAATTTGATGTTCCAATGAGGTTCCAGCATGGCTGCTGTTTCGTCAGGTGAGTCAAATTGAGTCAATCTGCTAAGGAGCTTCACTGTACAGCCCTGAACACTTCCCCTTAGAGGTATTGATTTCGAAGGTAGCGCACTCAGCTGCATGACTTGATCCTCCGAGCATCTCCGAGCCTTCCAAGTTTTGTTGCCGTTTTGTTGCCTAGGCCACCTTCAAGGCCCTGGGGATGATCAGGGCCGTGGTGGTCTCAAGGATTTCTGTTTTCATGTGCTTTCTGTATCTTTCTGTCAATGTGCTTTCCGTCACTACATGAGTATACAATAGTATACAGGATAAAATTCCGGGTCAGAAACTGTCGAGTCGAATCAGCATCACAGAGCAGCGTCCGCAATTAACATCCAAAGGTTCGGTTCAGCGTCGCAGAATCAGCGTCAAAGACGATCTTGGATCAACATCATGGATGAATGGTCGACGGTCGGGCTGGTCGGGACAGTCGATGGTCGGGATGGTCGGGACGGTCGGGATGGTCGGGACAGTCGATGGTCGGGATGGTCGGGACGGGCGGGATGGTCGGGACAGTCGATGGTCGGGATGGTCGGGACGGGCGGGATGGTCGGGACAGTCGATGGTCGGGATGGTCGGGACGGGCGGGATGGTCGGGACAGTCGATGGTCGGGATGGTCGGGACGGGCGGGATGGTCGGGACAGTCGATGGTCGGGATGGTCGGGACGGGCGGGATGGTCGGGACAGTCGATGGTCGGGATGGTCGGGACGGGCGGGATGGTCGGGACGGCTGGGGTAGTCCGCTATGTTGCGATCTATAGAATCTATACCGTCCCAATCTAACCGATTTAAATTCCGATCCAGCCGCGCCGATCCGACCAATCTAGATTCCAATCCAACGACCCCGATCCAACCAACACCCGTCACTAATTACATGGGATGACAATCCCACTTGAGCACATTTTGTCATGTTTCATGTGCATGCTTCGAATTATGTATTGATGCAGAATGGGGAATAGGTTGAAACCATAGCCAAACATAGCCAAATGATATGTGCGGTCATCCGATCTTTGGTTAATGATTAACGTACATGATGCATCATGATTCATGATACATCACGGTGCCACATGCTCCGTTCTGAAGATGCGTTTGCTGATGCCAGTGGGGATATCCACCCAATCATTGCTGTCCCGCAACCTCTCGCAAAAAACGCATCCACGCCATGATGTGCAAGACAGGTTTGCTACCGCCTGGCGGATCCCAAATGTCAGTCTCTGAGATTGAACTTTGGATTTATATAATTTTACCATACTTTACACTTTGGCTATTTTTTACACCCACGGTCAGAGGGCACCTGCATTAAATTCCCTCAGGTCAGTCCCGTTTCGCTGCGGGGATGGATCCAGAGGTGTCATGGCAGCACCTCAGAGGGCTTGACCAACACAGGATGGTCAGTCTTAAACTCCGCGCTGTTTCTGAGCAATTTGTCAATGTCAATGTCATGTCCACTGATTGGCCCCTTCATTCTTGCTTGATATACCCCTTATGCATCCTTATGCAGGTTATATGCTAGTTATATATATATATAGTTACACACACACATATATATATATATAATCATATATATATATATACACTATCCGAATGGTTGACTAGTGATGGCAACTGGATGAACAGCCATGGCACATCCATGGGTTCATCCCATTGGCGATTTGCTGAGTCCTACTTCATCCAGCTGAGCCAAGATGGAGAGGTTGAGGACGGCAGCTCAGTCATTGGTCCAGAACAGCAAAGTTACTTGCATCTTGGATTTGATGTTCAGTTTAGTCTAGCGACTGTTGACCAAAAAATACGGACTGGATGTCTTTGGAACCATGGAGAGGTATTCTTTCAGATTGACATATTTCTCCACTGAGAACCGTGAACGACGTTTCTCCAAATCCTTCGCGCCCAGTTTTTGGGAAAGAGGCGCAGTGGCAACCACCAGATCGAGATCAGGAACCTGTGAGCTCGTGGCTGCAAGCAGCACTGCTGGCTACAACTTAGCCGTTTTGTCAGCTTGGATGGGGTTATATAGAATGGCAGCTACTGTGGCAGAAGTGGACTAAGCTAGCCCAGCGGTGTATCCAACGGCTGACTTTTGACTCCAACTGACTACAATACACAATGCGACTTATGATTCTTACGTCCTGCATGATCAAAACGATGCAGCTGACCCCAGAGTCATTCCTCCTTAAAGCATAGTTAGCAACGCTGGCTGATCTGTTGGATCAGAATCCCAGTGACTTCATTGCATTGTTCGTGCGGCCAGGTGCTGCGACACTCCATCCTGGACTGATTCGAATAAGAAGTGCATAGAAGTCATAGAAGTGTCATTTCCAGCACCTTGCAGCTCAGGTTTCAGACTCTCCTCTCTTTCTTACGTCACTCCAAATTATTTGCCCTCGAAAATCGTTGAAGCTTTCGTCCTTCAGATATCTTCAGATATCTTCGGATCATGCTCAAGTCAAATGGCTGAGCGTTTTAAGCTGGGATTAAGCCATTGGGCGTCTCCGCTCTGTTAATGCACCGACTCCAAGAGTCGCAGTTATCAGCTGCAGGGCAGCCCCTTAACGCTTAGGGTCCAACTATTGGGCCACCGGAGAAGAACAGCCGGGCATCAGTTGAGAAAACGGAAAGGCCAGTGAGTAGCGGATGCGAAGCCCTGATGGTGCTGGTGCAGTCACCTTGATTTGATGAAGACTAATCGTTAGACGTTGATAGATTGCCCTTCGGGAGTGTTTTGGAATGTGGGCTATAGTCATTGGATGTTTGCTCAGGATGTTGCAGAGTATTTAATTTGCCGAGAATCGCTTGCAGACTTCCGAGGGGGTGCTTTTATTGGATTTCTTCGTAAACTGAACCGAACCGAGAGACCAAGATTGCTTTCAGATCAAATCAATTGATTGCGCGTGAGCATGGCTTAGGGATAAGAGCATGCATCGCTACCTGGGACCTTTGAAAGATGGATTTTGTACTAGCAGAGTTGATTGAGCCACAACCACACATGATGCAGTTGAGCTCACTT